AAGCACCATTAAGTTTGAAGCATCCGAAATCTCGATTCATTAAATCACTCGATCAAATTAAATCGAATCCTGAACTGCTTTCAAAATCACTAGGCATCAAATTAAGAGATCGAGGAGTTTATTAAACCTTAATTCTCAATTCGAGTGAGAAGAGGGGAGCATGGATCTGGAAAAAACGGATCTGAGTCCGCTTTTACGACGAGACTTATAATCTACTTGGAACATTTGGAAACAATTTTTTTTTTAGTAATAGATTCATAGTCTGATTTTCCATCTTGCAGCTGGCAATTTTTCCACCGGGGACATAACTTGATTTTGAAAATCTTGTAAATTTTGAACGTCTCCTTTTGCCTTGCATGGCAGCTCCAAAAGGAGGAAATAATTTTTTGCAGATTGGGAGTAAAGATTACAGTGTGAGAGATCTTGGTACCAAACGATGGTTGGAGGGGCGACTGAATGCCTATAATACAGGTCTATTCACAACACCCAACTATAGTGCTCACATCGAACGACCAATTGCGCCTGTGCGAAATTATGTACGGTCAGTGCATGGTTTAATTCAAAACAAAATAGATAGATTGGAATGGGAAGATTCGGGCGTAATATTTCATGTGGATTAAGCTAATGCACATAGGGGCGGGAGGGGGGGAGGGAGGGGAAGGGAGGGAGTGGGATTAGGAGATAATGTTTAGGAACATGTTTTATAAACAATGTAATATATTGATATCTCATGTGCTGAGAATATGTAGGGATATTTGTCTGTGTTTCATCCCTTAGCTGTAAACAAAGAAAATTGAAGGTGTGGTTAGGGGAGGGAATCATTAAGTTAAAAAGTCGAAATTAAAAGTTAAAACTCCCCCATACTAGCTCTCTGTGAAAGAAGGAAATAGCCCGAGTAGTAGCAAATGCCGGGAGCATTTATCTGCTGGTAAGGCTGTCGATTGGTTTTTTCTTTTTTAAGCGTTGCTTGGTTTAGCCAAGTATTATTATTATTACTACTACTATTACTGTTGCTATTATTATTATTACTATTACTATTATTATCATCATCATTGTCACTATTATTATTATCGTCATTACTGTTATCACTGCCATTATTATTATTATTATTATTATTATTATTATTATTATTATTATTATTATTATTATTATTATTATTACTGTTATTATTATTACCATTATTATTATTACTGAAACTGGGCAGGACCCCTTGCTCATTTTTGCCGACAACCGCTGGACATTGCGCACTAGTGAGTGTTATCTACGGGAAATATAACGGTCACTCAAACGACCCCTGAAGAGGTAACGCATAATCATCGTACAAGCGACTAGTACTAATTAAAAGTATGCAGCCCAACACAACGAAAGATCTGACACAACTGCGACTTAAGAGCATCCCGTAACATCACCAACCCAGCTCACAACCATTCTCCCGGCGGTTTCGGTGACCAATACTTGCTTAATCCTGGGTTGCAGTCATGCTGGTTTTTTCCAGATATATGCCGATAGAAGATGCCGTAAATATGTATAAGAAACGATGCATGACCGTTGGCACTTTATCCAAGTAAGACTTCAAAATCGTGTTTTTTTTTTTTTTTTTTAAGCATTTCGCGAAAGGCAAAATCGATTGGGAAGATAGAGAGTGTAAAAGCATGCACTGTAGCTTGCTAATATCTGGTAACCGCCGGTCACTGCTAATTTATTATTTCTTCCGCAACAGTGGTATTCCATGTTTCACATCAATAAAGTAGTACAGAGTTGCTCTGAGAAGTTCTGCCTTTATATGTTGTTGGCGTCTACGGGTTCGAATTCTGTCACTCTCCGCCCGGCATCAGTGGTTCAGCAGCACAATCCCAGTTTGCCGTGCTAGTGCCTCGAACAGGGGAACTTCTTCCAGTGACATAGGCGGATTCAAGGAGAGGAAGCGATGGGTTTTTCCCCCCCTCCCCCTACCTTCTAGCGGCACAAGCACCAGTGCTACAAAAGCCAAGATCTAAAGCTAAAACTGAAGAAAATTCTCTTCCGCAACCATCACCAACCCCCTGGAGCTTCACTC